GTCTTTTTCTCTCTTTGTCTTTTCCCCTGCTCTTTTCCTGTGTCATGATCATAGTCTGCACTACTTTTCTCCATCAGCTGAGGGACGAAAGCTCTCTCCCTCTCTCCCTCTCTCCCTCTCTCCCTTTCTCCCTCTCTCCCTCTCTCCCTCTCCCCTTTTCTTCCTGCTCCGCCCCTCCCCCCCGGCGGCCCAACACACGTCCACCTCATGGCGAGTTGGTGAAAGTCCAACAAAACGCTCGGCGCAATCAGGCGTTTTTTTTTTTTTTTTTTTGGAGTTGTAGATAGCCAACATGACAACACACAACATGGCCTTGCTAAGCTCTCCATTTAGGTGAACCGATGTGGCTTGGGTCAGGACTGTACTAGCGTATCCATGGGTGATTTTATGTGTAGAGTGGGTTTTATGTCTGTGACAGACTAGTTTCTCAGTGTTACTGCCATTCCTGTCAGGGGTTTCGACTGCCAATTTCCTTTCAGGGGTTTCGAGTGCCAATCTGCTAGGATTGAGTGGTTGGTGTGAGTAAAGTCAACCCCTTTTTTCAGGGGTATTGCTACTGGGGGGTTACATGGTGAATTCTTATTCGTGAGTCAAATGCATCTGGACAGACTGCTGGGGTTTGAACTCCTGACGAGTTGGTGAAAGTCCCGATGAAACAGTCTGGCACAGTCGTGTTTTGTTTTGTGGAGTTGTGTATAGCGAACATGACGACACACATAAAGGGGGTTGAATTTACAAACTGGCGCAGCGTTCAATCTTTATGAAAGTGTGCCGGTTTTGGCCTTCTAGATTCCAGGAAAATAGGGCTTTCTTCCACTGCACGACACTCTACATGCATTTGGATGCTCTCTTGACCGGGTGCATTTGGACGAGTTCATCGTTTGAATGCATCGGGTGTAGAGCGTTGTGTAGTGGAGCGAGGGCCAAAGAAACTTGAAAGCAATCTCTTGTGCTCCCTGGCGATTTAAGAGAGCGTGGTGAGATTGTCTGGTGAGAGTTTATGGTTGCTGCACACGGCGATGACATTCTGACAACACATTTTCTTGTGAGTGGTCGTGACATGGCGCCAACACTACCGTCTTTCATTAAAGCTGTATTTGGGGCAAATTTCAGACCAGATGTAGTGATAATGGCCGGGCATTCTATTCGGGTGAAGGTGGTAGCCCTTGATCGGGAGACCAAGATTCGGATCAGAGTCTGTTGAGCCTGATATGATATAAGGGCATACCTACAGAAGCTTTCATACTGGATCTGGCCATCATTGCATTCAGATACGCTCACTGAGGTGTCAAGACTTGAATAAGATTGGAGTCTGGCTACGTACGAGGCTGCTGAGCTTTACCGAAGGCCAATCAAAGAGCTTGGCACTAGGAAAGACATGCTCGCACTTGGGAGATTCCTGGACTTTACGCACCCCGCAATCATTGCCAGATGAAATGCAGGAATTCAGGTTGTGAGGATGCCTTGAGGGACAGTCAGACCCTGCCATCGTGTATTTTCGGTTGAGTAGCATTAACATAGGAGCAGACAGGCAATCCATGCTGTATTTATTCAATCATTCATGCTTATAAAGCATGAATGTGGCCAGTGTTGCCGATAAGTTCATGCATTCCTAGCATGATCATGGTGCCAGTGGGGCCTGCCTCGTTCTTAGCTGCCACTCGAACTTGGTACTTCATACAGTCCACACTGGAATACGGCATTATACCTGTATTGGATCAGCTTTCCGTCTAGATACAGTGAAAATGACCGTGCGTTGTGTTCTGCTTGAGTAAAGACGGTAGTCGTGCTCAGGAGTAGCCTTGGTAAGGAATCATCACAAATGCCTTAGCGGAAAAACGGCCTGGCTGGCCCCACACGACGACCACAGGATGATTGTGCTCCTCTACCATCGTGCCTTGAATAGAACTCCCAGTCATTATAGCCGTATTCGGGGCAACTTTCAGTCTAGATACATATTCCCGGGAAGATGGTAGCATGGGCTTATCCTGCCTATGGTGCACATTCACACCGCTTTCTTGTGCACTCAATAGAAACAGGAGTTGAATCTGCAAAACAAAGGGAAAAAAAGGAAAAGAAAAAGAAAAAGAAGAAAAAAAGGTAGTTGCCTCTGCCGATTGCAGCTATCTTAATTTGAGAATTGCGAAAAGGAAAGAGCAGAGAGCCGTTGTCATATGGTTCTTTTCTTTTCTTTTCCTTTATTTCACATTCTTCCGTTCACGTAGGGGATAAAAGAACGATGCTAGGATCGTTAGGATTTCTGTGTACCTGGGCATTTTCCTTTGGCCTTTCAGTTGATTGCCCACAGCATTCTACTAGAGAGGACACATACGAAAGCCATCCCCCCTCCCAAAAAAAAGAAAAAAAGAAAAAAAACAGCAGGCCCAAGAAAAAGGAATATGCCGTCCTCATGACTGACAGTCAACTGGCAACTGTGCAGTTTGATGGAGCCGTCAAAATTCTACCACGGGCTGTGAAAATGCTGCCTGCAGAACTCCCCAAAGCAAATATAGTCGTGCAGGTCCGACGACCGTGGGATGTGTTTTGGCGGCGTTGTCCTCTGATGGGTGGTCCTTGTGTGCCTGATGTATGTATTGCCCTGAGCTACCAGGCGGGCTGCTCGGGTCACCTTGTTTGAACGGGCGGCCGGTCATGCGAGGACAAGGGCAGGGACCAGCAAAAAAAAAAAAATCCAAAAAATCTGAAAAACACTATGTGATGCACAAAAATCATGGTTGTTAACTGGACGTCCGGATCGGGATCCAGACGGTCCGGTCTGGATGTCCGGATCCGGTGTCCGGTTTGGGGTGTCGGGTTGGGCCTCATTTCTGGAAAATTCAATATATTTTTTTGGGGTCCCCAGGTGATTTTCCAGTGCCTGGTTGACCCCCGAAAATTGTTGGCGCAGTTTTTGGTGGACCGTTGGGCCAACCGGACCGGCTCTGAAGGGCCTGTACTTGTAATCTTGGGGGGGCTTCAGCAGGCCAAGGAGAACTGGTTGTGTGTGTGTGTGTGTGTGTGTGACACTGTGTCTGTATGTGTGACACTGTATGTGAGTGTGTTCAAGATAAGTCAGATAATACAAGTACAGCAGCGTGTCTGTTTATTATTATTATTATTATTATTATTATTATCCGGACCTGTTCATTCATAACCGGACTGTCTGGGTCCGTATGTCCGGTTGTCCAGATTACGGGACGTCTGGATTAATCAATCCAGACACGGGTCCGGGCCCGGTGTCCGGTGTCTGGATGTCTGGGTCTGGGGCAACCATGACAAAAATAAACTGAACAGCTTTTGCCCCAGGGTCACATCGAAATTCTTTACCAATTTTTGTCCCTTTTTTTTTTCTTTTGGCCTGGCCTCGAAAATTGCCCCGGGCCACTCTGGTAGCCTAGGTATTGCCTCTTTTTTCGTATTTGATGCCGAAGCAGACATGCATGAGGGGAGTGATAAACAGATGATATCATGCTGTCAGAACTGGAGGCTCGTGCTAAAAATAGAGGAGGCTTCAAATGGTAGATGGTTGAGTTACAACCCCCCCCCCCNCACACACAAAAAAAAAAAAGAAGGAAAAAAACAAGAAAAAAAAAGGAAAAATGGTTGGGTCCGAGTGTATCCTCCGTGCCAACTCCCGCTCCCTCCCCAGCAGTTGTGCGAACCTCCCGATGGCACCACCTTCCCCGCACTCTCCTTACCACCTCTCCACCCATTCTCTTCAATCTGCAGAAATCTCTCAACTGACGTACGTGTTTTTGGTTTTGCAGACATGGTTGTGAGTGAGACAGAGTCACGGATCGCCCCGTTGAAGCGAGAGCGGAAGAGGCTTTTCAACGACCTTCTTTCGATTAAAGGTATTACTCGAAAACATGGAAGTTTTCGTCCTATGTTTTCTGGGAACGAAAAGGGAACAGGATGGGATGAGCACTTGTCATGTCCAGAATTCCACAATTGCCCATTTTCTGAACCTTATTCCACAATTGCCACTGTCAGTCTATAATTCCACAATTGCCACTGTCAGTCTATACCTTATTCCACAATTGCCACTGTCAGTCTATACCTTATTCCACAATTGCCACTGTCAGTATCGAGCTGCTTAGGAAATAGGTACATCAGTCAGGATATCAAGGCGGACAGTTCCGTCTTGCTTGTTCAGTTGAATAGAATCGTGCAAACAACTGGGACAGTGCTATGTGCTCTCGTCGTCCTCCGTTTCCCCCCCTGCTTTTGTGCAGTTCTTCTTTCTCTGTCGTGGCCTGCTCAAATTGAAATGGTTGAAGTCAACATTCAGACAGTCAGTGGTAGACCAGGAGGAAATTTTTACACTGGTCAGGGACTCAGGCAGAATAGTTCTGTCGTGCTTTGAATGTGTCTCGGAAGAGTAAACGGACCGACCTGGGAGTCTGGATTTCGGAACCTGTCATGCTTTAAATGTTTCTTTAGGTCTTTGCCTGCTATAGCAAAGGCCTCAGCCCAGTTACATGGTGCACTGCAAACGACTGGTACGGAGGTATTTTGCTTCTTAGTCCCGGAATGGGGATGGCGAAAGGTAGGAAGTTTGTGCAATTGTCGGTGTTATGAGATGACATATTTTTCTTTTGCTTTTCTTTGCTTTCATTGATGAAAGGTGTGTTCGTTGATCTCTGGCTGTTCTCGCAGGGCCTTTGAGGGTGTACGTAAGGTCTAGACCGCCATTTGATAAGGAGGGACCGATGTCCATGGCCACCACTTTTCCAGATGACTACACGATCAGAGTTGCCCAGTCAAGTCCAGGAGGGGCAGTTTCGTCACCTAAGAAAGACTTCGAGTACGACCGCGTATTTGGTCCTCACATTAGCCAATGTGAGTGGGGGCTTTTTTTTCTTTCTTCTTCATTTTAATGGTTAGCAGCCGTGTATTTGGTCCTCATATCAGCCAAGGTGAGTGGGCTCTTTTTTCTTTCTTCTTCTTTTTAATGGTTAGCAGCCGTTTATTTGGTCCTCATATCAGCCAAGGTGAGTGAGGTCTTTTTTTTCTTTCTCCTCCTTTTTAATGGTTAGCAGCCGTTAGCTCCTAATATTATTGTATCCAGGGTTGCCGGCGTTCTGGACGGGCCGAACGCCCGAACCCGAACGCCCGAACGTACTTCGGAAGGCGCGGACCGAAAAAAAAAAAAAAAAAAGTTTTCAAAAAATTCTGAAAAAAAAATATGTTATGTAGAAAACTAAACTAAACAACATTTGCCTGGGCACTACATCCAAATGCTTTACCAAATTTGAATTAAAAATCAAATACAGAAAATAAACACTATGATAAAAATAAGAAAAAATAAAAAGAGAATTGAAATGAGTGAGTGTGCCAGCACCTTTTCGATACCGCCATCTTTGCCGATTTTTAATTATTGTTTGGCATTGACAAATGCCCTGAAAATTTACAGATATGTATTTTACATAATCAATAACTGATTAAATTTTTTTCAAAAAATAATAAAATTCTTTAGGCCCCGAAGTAAAGTGAAAACTAAAAGTTAAAAGTGAAAAAAGACAAAATAGTGAGTGGGCGAGCACGTTTTGACACCCCCATCTTTGATGGTTTTTAATGTTTTTTTTTGGCTTAGCAGAATGGCTTCAAAATTTATAGGCGTGTAGGTTACATCATAGAGAACTCACAAAAAAAAATTCAGAAAAAAAAACTTATTTTTAGGGCCCGAAATATTTTTCGGCGGGGGCCGAACCTGGAGGTGTTCGGCCCCCGAACGCCCGAACGTTCGGGGGCCAGCCCGGGGGCCCCCGAACGTTCGGTCAGGTAACCCTGATTGTATCTGTCAGGATTTGAACTTTTTGATACAATAGCACGAGATTTTGTTTTTTTTCCCCATGAATCATACAAATGTTGAGAAATTTGTGTATCAATTGTTGTACCTTGCAATTCTCCAAAATCAAAGGCTCGAAGAGCGAGGCTTGTGAGATTTTTTTGTTCATGATTCAATTTGGGGATTTTTGGTACCATATAAAACCCATAATTTGTCTATCAATAGACATGTGTACCATTCAGCCACAAAGCAGGTACACAAGGCGAGTGGAGCTTCTCATGCAGTTTTTGTTTCAACACTTTTTCAGAATAGAGACCCAGCTTTTATAGAGTTCGTGCATCTGTCATTACTCAATGTTAATTTATCGACTCACGGACTTGTGTCCAATGTTCGGGGGCTCATCAGAAAGGCTGTGACACCCACATCCCATGTGGATGTATGGTATACACATGTATCTGTTAGTGCTAGTAAAGAAGCCATGAGTTTGAATCCTGATGAATTCACACGAAGAGAATTATGTCATGTGGTACGTCTTTTTTTCTATACTCTTTATAAAGGGAACAGCGGGTCTCGCGTAACGCTGTCCCGAACCCGGCCTGCCTGTGTTGGGAAAGAGGCAGGGGACAAGGTGCGGGCCCAAGAGGAATTTCGTGAGAGCGGAGGGTTTTTTTTTGGCCGGTGTGCGACGGCTCGAAGGGTGCCACCGCGTGATAGAAGCGTTTCGGAGTCCGGCGGGCTTTTTTTTTTTGTTGTGCGAACGTGTTTTTGCGTCGTTTTTTTTTGTGTTCAGTCGGCCGTTGTGCGGGGGAAAAAGAAGGCGAACGGTCGAGAGGTGTGAACGTTGGGTGGCGGGCGGCTGTTGTGTCGGGGAAAGAGAGGGTGACTCTTCCGCCCGATTTTCTCCGGATGCTTGCTATCTGCCCTGCTCCTTACCCAGATCCCGACTTCCTGCCACGTCATCTCCGCTGTCCCATCTCCGTTTCCTTCTCTTCGACTACCCCCGATCCCGACTTCCCCAACTCCGATCCTGCCTCCCCTCGCCCCGATTCGGATCCTCCCCTCCCTCCTCAACCGCATCTCGACGACTCCTCTTTCTGATCGCCTTCCCCCTTCCGCCCGACTTTCTCCTGGTGCCCTTCCGCCCGATTTTCTGCGGGTGCCCGCTATCTGCACCGCTCCTTGCCCAGATCCCGACTTCTTGCCACGTCATCTCCACTGTCCCATTTCCGTTCCTTCCCTTCGACTACCCCCGATCCCGACTTCCCCAACCCCGATGGATGTCGATCCTGCCTCCCCTTGCCCCCATCCGGATCCTCCCTTCCCTCCCCAACTGCATCTCGACTTCCCTTCCTCCCTGCGCCCGACCCTACTTCCCTCCTGCGCCCACCTTTGCTCCCCCCACCTGGCGCGCACGTGCGCGTGCACACTTCCTCGAACTCCTCCCTCCTTCTGCCTAATCACGTCCCCCCCTCCTTCCGCTTGCCTGCCCCCTCCTCCCTGCGCACCAACTTCCTCCTCTCTGCACCCCGATTCCCTGATTTCGATTCCACTTCCGCTCCTGGCCCACGCGACGACTCCACGCACATGATCCCGCTCTCTTCCCCCACCTAACTTCGTTGCAGCCCCTCCCTACCCGCTGCGCACCTGCTCCGCCAATTCCCACCCAACTCCCCTCCTCTCACACAGCGCGACTTCC